TACAATACATTAAATCCATAACAGTCTTTATCTCTCACTCCTAAACCATTTTTTAAAGAATCAATGTGATAAACGAATTCAATTTTGTGCTGGATCCTGCTCCAGGCTCTGAATTTGCGATATATCCCTGATGCAAATTATTCGACTTCCATCCTCTTTGCGAACAAAAATTCTGCCGCCCTTGCACCAGACATATTTATATCCTTGATTCTTTAGTTGTCTTGCCCTGTGAAATATCTGTCTCTGCTCCCTTGAGAGGTCTTCATTAATAAATTTTTTTATGTTGCAATCTTTTAATGTTAATGTTCCTTTCTTCTTTCTGCTTTCTATTATCGTTTTTGTAGTTTCTTCGCTCTTAAAGGTGACAATAATTGGTTTCTCAGGTTTTTCCGATGGAAGAAATTTAGTTTTATAATCCTGTTTTTGTATATTTACATTTAGAGTTGTTAGTACTTTGTGTATATCTTCTGCGCAGTTTTCTATGGTAGTATGCAGCCCTAGGAACACTCAGAGAAAATTCCTTGAGAAGATAAATTATGCAGGAACTTGTGATGTCGCTTCTGCTCGTTCAGTCGTCAGTAAACCGTACCCTATACTTTTAAGTGGTTGCAATTCGCTCTAGGAGATAATTGTCTTTTGTTTTGGAAAATTCTTACACGTGTTGATACTGTCCCTGATAATCCAGTGTGACGTCACAAACAGTTGTAACTTTAAACCGCCCTAACTCGAAAACAGACCATCGTAGCAAGATGCGGTTCAAATTATTATTCGATTTTTTGCACTTAAACTTTCTCTTTTGGGTCTGTTCAGATCCCAGTTTTATTATTAGAATTTTTAAATGGAACTGCAACGCAGTATTTGGACCGGCCTGCACGCCTTTATAGTGTCCTGCAATGTATGTATTGTAGAGGAAAAAACCAGTAGTTTGCTGGTATAATTGCCAAAGTGACATGAGCAGTTTTGTCAAGTTTTTGATAGATTGTCAACAAATTAATTTTTGAAACGACAGGGTTTCTAAGCTCCTCTTCCCTCAATCGTCCCATCGCAGCACGAAGTTCATGTTCGTCCAGAACCATTAAGGAACTGACGGCAAAGGGACACAACAGGGTCACACCCCCTTTAAGCCGTCTCCAACATATTTAGCTCCAAAAATTGTAAAAATACGTGAAAATACTATTCTACTGACTAAGATTTTGTGAACGATTCTACCTATCAGGGTGACAGCTACAGGTAAAATTTGAGGCACTTGGTATCTCTGATAGTATTTTTAAAATTTTTAGAGCCAAATATGTTGGAGAGGATTCAACCAAATATAGACAAATTAAACTACTCAACAATAGGTTCGTTCCATGCATAAATTTCACCAATTTTTGAGACGCGACAACTTTTTAATAAATTAACCTCCTACTTAATACCTCACCTTTTTATCTACGCGTTACCAAATACAAAAACGATGATTTAATTAACGTTTTGAGACTTACATTTTTGAATTTGATCATGCTCCCGTTTCTTAAACTTCTCATAATGAATAATGTAATGAACTCTTATCTCAGATGTTAGTATGATTATTATAGTCACAACCGATATAACGACGTCATAATATGTTCTTTTTTTAATGTAATGTATAGCGTTTTATCTACGACCGCTTACTGAAAACAATAAATATAGAATTTAATTTAAAATATAGAATACCATGTAATGCGGCGAAGTGTGGTTTTGATAAATGTATCTATTGTTATAATAAAAAATATATTCCTTGTAAATCATCTGCTTTACACACAAAAATATAGAATTTGAGTGTTTTTTTTTTATACAGGGTGATATAGGAAGTGCGGTAAAAATACAAAATTTTTGTTGCCACCCCATTTCTACAATTATTTTTATTTATTTTTTCTAAGCATACCAATGATTATTATGTTCATCCCTCGAAACGTTTTTGGATTTTTTCTTATATCTTGTTTTGTTTATGAAATAATGCAAATTTAGTGTTATAATGACACATTTAGTGTTATTCAAACCCATCGTGAACAAGTTTAAGTACTTTTAGGATTTGCTAGTCTAAAGTTACTTGCTGTAATCACAATTAAAACTATAGCTGACGTAGAGAAGCTTTATACAAAACACACAGGGTGTGCGAGGATACTTTAAACATGAAATTTAAGATTTTGCATAATTTTGCCATTTACTACAGAAAAGAAAGTGTCAAGGACGGAAAATTAATTTTGAGTTACTTTGAAGGCTTTATATCACTTCTGCAGTGTAATTCCAAAAAACAATTTCGAGGTTTTTTTTGTAATCCATTTTTTCTGAAAGTTACGTCATAATTTGTAAACCTATAAAACAATTGTTTCCTCAATTTCTTGATATTTGCTACCATCAACAAGTCCAAAAAGAAAAAATATTTTTACTTGCTAACATTTTAGACGAATTTTTACTTGTATACAGGGTGTCCCCAAATCAATCACCCATTGAATGTATACACTCCTTTGAATTTCGCAATTTAATAAAAGTAAGTGGCATCATATAAAAAGCATATGATTTGAGTTGGGCACACCCTGTACACAAGTAAAAATTCAGCGAAAATGTTGGCAAGTTGAATAATTATTCTTTTAGGACCTGTTGATGGCAGCAAATATCAAGAAATTGAGGAAACAATAGTTTTATAGGTTTACAAATTATGACGTAACTTTCTGAAAAAATAGATGACAAAAAAAACCTCGAAATTGTTTTTTGGAATTACATTGCAGAAGTAATATATAGCCTTCAAAGTAAGTCAAAATGTATTATCCGTCCTTGACACTAAATTTTCTGTAGTAATAGTAAATGGCTAGAGTAAATGGCAAAACTTGCAATTTCAAGTTTTTAAAGTATCCTCGCATACCCTGTGTATTTTGTATAAAGCTTTCTTAAGCAACGTCCAGATTAGTAAATAAATGCGTTGCGTTGAATTCGCGATTCGCCACAAATTTTTGCGTCGCAAACTTGGCATCTTGACCGACATAAATATTTGTGTAGTGCGCCGTGCGTTCTTGCTCAACGCATGTGTGCCTATTTTATTTCAGAGTGTACGTTGCTTGTTTTTGGTTATTTGTTTCGTTCACGAAAAAATTTGTCCACACTAGAACGATGTTGCGCCGCAAATCCCTTTGATGTCTTGAATAAAACCGACAAGCCGCGGATCACGTGCGTTGAAAATTTTTGCGTGCGTCTGTATGCGGCGAACAGGTCCACACTCGCATAAATTTGTATCGCACATACAAATTTGTGCCGAATACCACGCACAACGTGAATTTTTACTAATGTGGACGCGGCTTTACGTCAGTAAGTTTTAATTGTGATCATAGCAAGTAAATTTAAACCAGCGGATCCCAAAAGTTAATGCTTAAACTTGTTCACGATGGGTTTGAAGACCTTGAAACTCTGGGTGTCATTATAACACTAAATTTGCATTATTTTATAAACAAAAAAAGATATAAGAAAGAATCCAAAAACGTTTCGAGGGATAAACATAATAATCATTCGGGTACCTCTATGCCTAGAAAAAATAAATAAAAATAATTGTAGAAATGGGGTGGCTACAAAAATTTTCTATTTTTACTGCACTCCAATATCACCCTGTATGAAAAAAACATTCAAATTCTATATTTTTTTGTGTACAGCAGATGACTAATTGACTAACCAGGAATCGCTTTCAAAAATGGTGAAAACGGCATATTTTTCCGTTAATTTATTAAAAAGTTGTGGTGTCTCAAAAATTGGTGAAATTTATGCTTGGGGCAAACTTATTGTTGAGTAGTGTACCTACATACTTTTGAAATCGGAAAATTGTGCTCGTCAAGAATATAGAATCAAATACAGGGCATGCCATTTGAAAAAAGTTGAAAGTACGCAAATTTTCTAAAATTTCTGATAATAAATTTTTGTTTCTGACGATGGATTCTTAAAATTTAGCTAAAACTGCACAGCTTTTGTATTTACACCTATCATCTTTATACCTGTAAAGGCTGCAGGTCGGGTGCAAAAATATATGGGAAAACCCTGTACCTAACCACAGAATATATAGGTACCTACTTACGTTTATATTCTGTGACCTAACATACGGTATCTTGGTTATATTGGTTTATTGCAGCATAAAATATTTGTTTTCATTTTGAATTAACGCCGCAATAAATTCGGTAACCGAGATCAAAAGTAGGAGCCACTTTGTGGAAAAAATTCCATAGGTTTTGTTTTTGGTCAATAATTGAAAATATGGAAATATATAGATAATAGGAACGTAATATTTTATTAATAAAAGATTATGTCGTGACATCTAATATCCAAAGATTCGTTATAGGAACAAAAATACCCCAAAAACAGCAAAAGCCATATTTACCTATTATGCAATTTTTATACGCCAGTACAGAGTCGCAGATCATACCTACAGAAATGTATTATTGCATAGTTTTAGATTCTAGTTAATTATTATTAATTTTATCATTCATATAATTAAGTGTTTTCATTATGAGTTTTTATTGTCGAGGTTTTATTCTGTAGGTATACTTTATTTAATATTCAAAATGTGGCTGGCATTCAATGGTATCATTTAGTGGGGATAAATTTGAACCTGTTGTATAGTAGCTTTGTTCTGGTTTGAAAAAAGGACGGTTCTACAACGGTTCAAAAACATCGCACAGTTTATTATTGAAATTTGTGATAGTCGGAGTCGTTGTCATTTTGTTGATTGATGAACTGTGCGATTGTTTTGGAATCATTCTTTTTTTCAAACCCGAACAGGCCCAGTGGTTTTTTCGAGTTCAAAAAATCTGGTTATACGAGACGAGGTTATAATATTCGAAACGAACCACCTACGCGAAATGGTATGATTGGTACATCATTTCATTGTTTTAGTAAGCTAAAGCAAAATCACAACAGTTTCAAAACTATACAGATAAAAACTTTAATGCTTTAGAAATTTTAAATATTTCCGTCAATTTAGAATAATAATTAGATATACATACCAGCAGTTTCGGAACTTATAATTATCTTCAATAACATTATCTGTTTACATTACAAATCGACCATATTGCTCAGGTTTTCTGCGTGGTTTTGGAGCCAAATTCATTATAAAGTTAACAAATATACACTGATAATTTGCTGCAGCAAACACTATCACATTACACTCTATTAAAAATTAAAAACAAAACACGATAAATCAATACGTCATGAAATTAACGCGCCGCCTTGGAAAGTAGTACTACATTACATTACATTTTATATTGGTTTATTCGTTTGCAGCAGCAGAGTGGAGCAGGAATTTGTGGTTTGTTGAATGTTCGATATACGATAAGGCGTACAGCGTACCGTTCGTTTTCTGTCCTATTCTAGCTTGACGGTACTACATAATATAGTTTTCTCACGTTCACATTATCCTTCGAAACCTGTCTCAGTTGTGCGTCATCTTTATACAGACCGGTATTTGAAATTATATGCCTATATACTATTGATATAAGTTTTAGTTTTACACTAACAATCCGTGTCCGTGTCGTATTAGAAGAAACATTAATAGCATTTAAACTATTATTTAACATTTATTTAGAAAAGTTCCGCTCACAATAGTTAATTTTGCGGTTCATAAACCCCATTTAACTTGCATTTGCATTCAAGACTTGGACAACTTTTATCTTGTCGGGTCTTATATGGAAATCCAACTTGTTATGTGCAACACAAAGGACAACGGTTTACATCGTCGATAATGTCATTATTGGATTTTTTTAAAGAGTCAATCATACGTAAGAAGCGAAGCGTTCGACGTTCATGGTCATGATTGTTAGGACAAAAAAGTGAAATTCAAAAATTGTGTTAAAATAAGGTTAAAATAAATGTCTAGACAATTATTACTAATAAATAAAGATACAGAACATAGTTATTGTTCTGTTTACACAAATAGTTTTCTGAATAATAAGTAATAATAAGTTTATTATTAATTATACTACTATTAGGACAGGCTTATCGATATTGGATCAAGTTTGCTAGTTTGATCCAAGAATATCTTTATCCTCAGGTCAAAGAGTAGTAGTATCTCGTTTATCCATTACATTCCATCTCCGGGTATTTCGGGTTACGAAACTCTAGACTAGCGACACTTCACTGTTGCCAGACATAGGTTAATTGTGATTGGTCGGAAAAGTCAACATGACCTAAAATCTGTTTTTTTTTTTAAAGATAATTCCCCAAGTCAAAAATTTAGTAACTATGTTGGCAACACAAGCCTTTTCTACATAAAAAATTGGGAAGCATTGACAATTTTACATTGTATTGCCAACATAATGTCATTTTGACTTTTATCTTTAAAAAAAAAACAGACTTTATATGCTTTTCACTTATTATTGGCGTAGCATTATTTATGGAAATTCGGCAGGTTGACCCTCGTATAATAATGACAGTATATGTCAAATTCCAGACAGTTTTAAGTGTGGTTTACATAATTTCGTAAGTGCCGCGGCATTAAAATTTTCTGGCCTATCTGGCAAATGAAATTTGACACATTTTTCAATGCATTTTTCAATAATGCTATATTATAAACGCTACCTAACTACATATTTCGCGTATCTGCAAAATCTAATGACATTTTTTAAAATTCGGCATTGTCAAATTTCTTTCGTTTTGAAGATGCTGCAAATAATCTCAGAAGAAAAAAAAGGGAAATATTGAAATGTCATGGTTATTAAAAAAAAAATAAACCAGAGGCTCTCCAGGGAACAATTGAAGCCCAACTTGCAGATATATTTGCGGTAGGTATAACTTAAATGTAGATGTGAAGCCATTTCTTACCCAACTAATATTTTCCTTAAATGTTAGGTGGGAACCAGGACTATTCAAAGAATTTTGACTGGACAATATACAATCAAAAAACCTTTAGGCCGACCGAAAAAGACAGAGACTATTATGGACCGAATGTTTAAAGAAGATTCACAACGACAAATTTGGAAATACAATTCTAAAAATGAATATTTTACTTTACAAACATTACTGACATACGCAAAAGAAAATTTGGAATTTAAGGGAGGGCAAACAAGTTTATATAAAATTTTAAAATCTATGGGATATAAATTTAAATTAGTAAATAGACGCAAAATTTTATGTGAGCAGAAACATGTTCTTGCTGCCAAAATTAAATTTTTGCGGAAATACCTCCAATATAAACATTCAAACGAAAATATCAGATTCGTTTATTTAGACCCCGCACCCGATACATGAGAATTTCGGAACCATACGATTTTCTTTAAATTTTAATATGTTGTAGGTATGGATAAGTTCTTCACAAAAAAGTAAGTTAGAATATGGTGGCTCCTCCCGTTTGGCTACAGTGGCATATCAAAGTTACGGCCATCAAAATACAATTTTGCTTGTTTTTAACATTTTGATGCTAAAAATTAGCCTATATCTGATGCATAATAACAGCGGCGGGTATACAGAATAATTTTTAGTATGTAAGTCCAGTGGCGTACAGTAGAATATTAAAAAATTCTGAAAAATCTTCTTTGTGCAGTGGTACCTAATTGGAAAAAGTTAATCGGTTATCAGGCTGAAAATGAGTTCATAATTTGATAAATAATGACAGAGGCGGATATTTAAACTTATGACACAATAATTTTCATTCAGTGCCGTAGATAACAGTAGTAAAAAATGGTTTAAAAGTCTTCTTTGTACGGTGTTAATTGGGAAAAGTTATTAGGTTATCACTTATCAGGCTAAAAATAAGTTCTATCCCCGGTTTTATCTGATAAATAATGACAGATGCAAATATTTTGAACTTACAATACAACAATTTTCATCCAGTGTCAAGTCGAGTGCCGTCGATAACAGTAATAAAAAATTGTGAAAAATATGGTTTGTGCGGTGGTAATTGGGAAAAGTAATTAAGTTATTATATACCTACCTATTTATCATGTATCCCAAGAAGTCGTGCCCTTACTTCGTCGGCATAATCTCGAATTTCTTTTCATTCTTCTCCAGGTATTCCAAACATCAGATTGCAAAGTAACCTGAGTTCCCTTTCAAAAACGATTCTAGCTTGAATTTCACAAAATTGTGAAAATTATGCGTTGTGAGGTGGTCATTGGAAAAAGTAATAATAGGTCATAGAGCTAAAAAACAAAAAAATTCATATACCTTTCAACACATCGATCACTTGAAAATGGTTATTAATATTACCTTTACCTCATCCAAAGCTATACTGTTTACTGTCCAGCTGCAGGACGACGATCTTGGGCATCTTATTCTTAACAACATTCAACAATCTCGTTGAAGGATAATACACTTAATTTCCTTTGAACCTTTCATATCCCAAATATCCAATGCGGGATACATGCACACACTCACCCAGAGTTCTAGCTTCTTCTTTACATGTACAATAGCATGATGTAATAGGATGAAAGGATCTGGTAGGGGACCCTCAATATTTACTTCTTAGTCAACGACATTGTAAGTAATGTATATAGTAGTATGTCTTGTCGCTTGAGTAAATCGTGAGAAAAGTCGAGTCCGTATGAGTCCATGTTCATTTTGTTGTATTTCAAGAACAAACTGGTTAGCATTCGATCCTGCATGTAAGCTGGAACTAACGATATCTGGAATCTGTATATCAATGCACACGCATGATAAACAAATTCCACGATCCCATTAATAGTCATGGAGCTGACATTGCAAGAGCAGAGAGAATGCTTCAATTTGCTAGAGAGCCGAATTTTCTTCAACAAAATAGAGGAAGAAAATATTAATCGCAGATTTGGACAAGGTCCTTGGACTCCAATAGAATATGCCAAATAACATCAATTTCCACATCTGACGATTCCATATCTTCGTGATATTCAGCTTACATGCTGCAGGATCAAGACAAAATGCCAGCCAGTTTTCTCTTGAAATACAACAAAATGAACCTGGACTTATACGGACTCGACTTTTCTCACGATTTACTCAAGCAACAAGACATACCACATACATTACTTACAATGTCTTTGAATTAGAAGTAGATATTGAGGGTCTCCGGCTCCCCTACCAGATCCTATTACATCATGCTATTGCACATGTGGAGCAGGAGATAGAACTCTGGGTGTGTGTGAAGGTACATGTATCCCGCTTTTTGTGGTATTTGGGATACGGAAGGCACCAGGAAAATGAAGTGCATTATCCTTCAACGAGATTGTTGAATGTAGTTAAGATTTCCAAGATTGTCGGCCTGTATAGCTGGACAGTAAACATTAAACAGTATATCCTAAAGTAATATTAATGATCCTTTTCAAGTGATCGATGTATTGAAAGTTATATGATTTTTTTTTTGTTTTTTATGCCGATGAACTAATTACTTTTTCCAATGACCCCTCACAAAGCATATTTTTCACAATTTTCTTATAAATGTTATTATCTATGGCACTGGATGAAAATTGTTGAATTTTAAGTTCAAATATCCGCATCTGTCAACATCTATCAGATAGAACTTATTTTTAGCCTGATCACCTAATTCCTTTTTCCAATTACCACCGCACGAAGAAGATTTTTCACACTAAAAATTATTCTGTATACCCGCCGCTGTTACTATGCATCAGATAAAGGCTAATTTTTAGCAGCAAAATGTAAACAACAATGCAAAATTGTATTTTGATGGCCATAATTTTGATTTGCCACTGTAGCTAAACGGAGGGAGCCACCATATTCTAACTTACTTTTTTGTGAAGTACTTATCCATACCTACAACATATTAAAATTTAAAGAAAATCGTATGGTTCCGAAATTCTCATGTATCGGGTGCGGGGTCCTTTGGATCTACTAAAACGGATCTCAAGTTCGTCGATGGATACACGAATCTGATATGAAAAGCAACCCATCCAAAATTAAGTCAGAGGGGAAACGTTTTACTATTTTGCATGTGGGTAGTAGTTCTGGGTTTTTAGATGGGTGCGATTTTTTTCTAGATTCAAGAAACAATGACAGAGACTACCACAATACCATGAACGCGGACATCTTCCAAAAATGGGTCGTTGATCAACTAATTCCTGCATTGAATTTATTTGAAGAGAAATGTGTAATAATCATGGACAACGCTCCATATCATTCAGAGCAGAAGGATAAACCATCTTCATTCTCTTCAAAGAAAGACAAAATGCAGGAATGGTTGGTTAAACATAACGTAGACTTCGACACAAAAATGACCAAAAAAAAACTATGGGACCTAACTCAACCATTTCGGAATAGACCAAAACA